GTCGGATCTTTGCCAATCGTTAAAGTTACGTGGCGCCGACATTTAGTTTTACAAACTTAGAGATCCAATTCGGGAAGATTCGTAAGTCGGATTCCAAATCCATAAGTTCCTATTATCCTCAAATATCACGTACTATTATGTATTAAAGTTTGGTAACGATCCAACAGTCAGATTGTCGATTCATATAATGTCCAAGTGGCGGTCTCTATCAAAACTATAGTCATACGACAAAATTTCGTCAATCGAATGTCACATATGGAATCAGGGTATCCAAATTAGTCTAGAAAGGGCAGGTGGGATCTCGGCCCACGCGCTGCCACACGTGGCAGTCGCCCGCCCCGACTCGTTAGAAAATTCAATTATTTTCCAAAATTACCAAATTTTATAGCCAAGTAGATCATAGTGAGGGAAGCAATTTTCATACCTGGACGGAAGTCTAATTCGGCTGGGAAACGCCTAAAATCGCCCACGAATTGCCGAAACCCTAGAATTGGGTGTGCTTCGATTCGACCTCCATACTCACTCTGACGCTTCCACCACTGCTTGGGCTTTGTTCCTGAGGTTTGGGTGAGCCTTTTGGTGGTGGTTTTTGATGGAGTTACCTTTGGGAATGGCGGATCGCTGCCAGGGAACCACCACGTACCCACTAGTGCAATTCTTCACAGTCTCGAGCCCAATGTCATCGAATTTGGTGTGGAAATGGTAGAGGAAGGGTTGTGGAGTTTTTTTCCAGGTGGTGTCTCAACGTAATTCGCTAGAAATTAGTTGGAGAACCATCGGGTGCCATGGGTTCCGACTGAGTCGGGTTGCAAGGGATATGGGCGGAATTATCCGATGATTTTCCTCCTCTCTCCCTTCCCTTTCTTTCTTCTTTCCCCCATTGGGCACTCCCTCTCATCCCTTCTCTCTGATTGGCCCATCTGTTCCCCCCCATCTCTCTTTTTCTCTCCTCTCATTTTCATCTCAGCCATCCCTTTCTTCTTTTCTTCTTTTCCTTTCATCCTAGCCACACATGTGGCACATCTCATTGCTCCAGAAAAGCTGGAGCCTTCTAGAAATAAAGGTTAAATTACAAAAATGTCTTTGACTTTAAATGTTAATAACTCCTTCGTTATAACTCAGTTTCAGGAATAGTTTGCACCTATGCGTTCGTGAGATCGATCTCTATTCGAAATATAAATTGTGACCTTGAAAGGTCTACAGATTTTAAATAATTAATTTCCAAACTTCAAACTTCATCATTAGTTTAATTTAAAATCCAAATTCAATTAAATTAATATAAATTCCTGAAAATAATATAAAATCTTGTTAATCCAAATACGTAGATTATAACAGTGAAATCCAGGGACGGGATTTCACATTTATGATCTTCGATCATGAATTTATGTAGTAATAGCGTGCTTGAAGCCATGAGTGCTTTCAGAATAATTTCCTTTTCAATATGCAACCAAATGATGTGTTATATAAACATTTCCACTTTCTCTCCATATTCTCATAAATTGGAACGATCCACTGCCGACACAATTCCAATAAATCCTCATTAGCCTGGTCAATATGAGGCCACAACATTAATATGAGATGCTCATATCTCTAATAATTAATAAAACACTCATTGTCAACCAAAATCCTATGAAATTACCAGTTTAACTCTCTAATTAAAATAGAATATGAATAAGAAATATGGGGCATAAATGTAATTTCACACAACCAGATTTTACTTTTTTTTTTTTCAAAGCCTCATCTGCATGGAATCCTAACATATTTCTAATTAAAAAAAAAAAATTAAAAAAAGAAACTTCCCACTCCCACATTTTCTATCACTCTCTTCCTCTCTCCTTCTATTTCAAAAACAAAAATAAAAAATTTTCTCACACACTTTGTGTGTGCCCATATGCTAGTTATTCATTGACATAAGTGATAAAGTAACTAATAAATAAGTTGAGATTCCATGTTAGTGATTCAGTGTTCTCAGCTTTCTTTGCCAAACAAAAACCATGAATTGCACGAATACGAAACTGATTATAAATCAATGTGATAGTTGTTATCTGTTAGGCAATTTCATTGCCTTTCGTATTGCAAGAGTGAGCTTTGAGCATGTTTCCTTGCTTTGCAACCTTGAACACATGTTGTATACGTAGGTTTTCGATCTTCTTCGTGTATAATCCCTATTTTAATACGTGGGAAGATGTCTCCAACAAATTTCTCTACGACATGATTTTTGCTCTCATTTTATAAAATATCATTTCAAGATGTTATCTTAATTATTAGGATAAACTTGCCCTCTATAAATAAGATTTTTCTTTCCAAGTTACTGATCCAAAATCCTTGCAGGGGGATTAATCATTGTCTATAAAAAAACAATCTTCAAAAGAAATGTAATTTAATTCACAAAAACCAACTTATCTTTGATTGCAGTAATTAGCAGCATGCATTTCAAGTGAGCGAAGAACATGATTCATATTATCCCTGGCTATTAGCATTCCACCTGTACAATCAAGTGAACCACAAAGCAAAATATATGTGTGTCGTATGATTCCGTTCAATCAAAAGCATCAATATCCAATGGTAATAGATTGTATTCAGTCTCATCCATTGCACTTCTCTTAAATGGTGCATTCCAACACCATAGTCCACATAGGTGATGTGTAAATGTACTTGAAATCCGCCGCTCCTTTTGAAGTTCCGAAAAGCTGGTTTAAGAATAAAGCTCTTGCCCTGGCAGGCATGCCCGCAGACTATCGATACCAATGGGTTACGAGTTGCAACATGGAGACAGTGTTTTGGTCCCTGCGGAACTTCCCATACTTGTCGCTGTAGACGAGTTGTATCAGCATCGGGGGACCCGTCATTGAGCGCGAAGGCAAGGAAGAGAACGATGGCAATAGCGATGACGCCTCTAAAAAATTTCCCATGTTTCACTATTGCTCTTGGTTATGACGTCGTATAGTGATTGTGCTTTCCTTCATCCAGTTCACTTAGAACTTGGAATAGAGAGACAATCGAGGTTTTTAAATTGGGAGAGAAGAATAGAAAAACTTATTCAGGTTTTGGCCCGTGCCCCCATTGTGGCGTGGGTGAAACCATGACTTCTCAAATACGGCTTTTTGTACGAATTCCCACAGACAATGTCAACTTTTGGAGTGGAAAATTTCAGATACTCTAATTTCACTTACGAAATCCCACATGATATGCTTAGACTCCAAGTTCTACTCTCCCTGTATTTCTCCATGTTTCGCATTCCATGGAAGTGTTCGATCATGCTTCTTTATTCTGTGAAATTAATTAGGGTTGGAAGATGAAGCTTCTTGGCTCTATTTCTGCAGTTGCGATGACCCACCACGATGTAAGTCAATTAATCCATTTCCTTAACAAGATCTGAAACCCGATGACTTGCAAGTCCCCTTTTCGCCGAAATCTGGAGCGGGATCTCATTGTCAGCCGCGCTTCATTCTGCACATTCATGGTGCCTTGATTTGCCATGAATCCACACCCATTCCCATAGCTTTTTTGGGTTGTGTGCAGAAGATCAACAAGAACGGATTGTCTGCAGAATATCAACTACAAGGAAGGCAATGCCCCTTTTTGGATTGTTCTAGGATATCAATTTTGTTCCTTTTTTTTTTTTTTTTCATTTTATTTACAATTTTTTTCTTCTGAAAACTAGTATGTCATAAAGGTAGAGAGGCTTCTTCTTAAATCTTAGCTCATAGCATAATTGTTCAACACATCCAATCCAACTAGATACCCCGTCACTGCCAATAAAATACCAGTCATCCTGGACATGATACATCCCTAATCCACTACTAGACATGATACATCTGTAATCCATTACTAAGATCTCCATATAAGGGTAAATTTCTCACACATTCCACTCGAAGAACCACAAAAATTGAAAACATCCATAAGCTGCGAATGGATTCCCGAATGTTAAATTCTTAATAAGTATATCCAAAAAAACAAGCTGCAGTCAGTGACTCAGTGCCGTTTTCCTAAATTTCATAATTATGAATGTTGGATTATAGTTAATCACCAAAAACCCTAAAGAAACTCAAAAATCCCATTGAAATGCATAAACAAAATCGAAAGGAATGAACAAAAAGCAATTGAAATTGGAAAATTAAAAAAGTACCCATTGAAATGCAAGGCAAATGAAGCTCACCTGATCAGACCATCGCCAGCGATACAGGTTTGTCGTCGATTGTTTATATGTTGGACGGTTACGAGGTGGTGCGACAAGGAAGGAGAAGGGAAAGGGCGAAGGTGCGAAGGGATGAGGAGCAAGTTGCAGTTGCTGCGGTTGATGTGCGAAGGTGCGAAGGAGAAGGGAGATGACAGGATTAGAGGGCGGCTTAGCAGTCCTCTCCGAATCGGGTGGTCTCGCTAAGACCTGTTAGTGAGGGACTCAGTCGAGGCGAGTCCCTGCTAATCCCATTAAACTTAGTCCAGGTAGGAAACAAACACAAGACTGAACTAAAACTTAGTCTAGTCTAGTCCAGTGAAGGCTAGTGATGCCAAACAAACACATCCTAAAATTACTAATAAAGTCAGGCCCATGGAGACCCCTACAAATAAATACGATTGTTTTTTTCTCAAAAATTGGTACAAATATGAAGATAAAGCAAATATACAAATGTCAGAAACCAAAAAAGAAATAAGGAGATTATAAATGAAAAATTGAAAATATAACATTTTATCCGGCTTAAAGAAAAAAAAATAAGGAGATTATAAATGAAAAATTGAAAATATTCAACTCACGAGAGGGTAAGTGGCTGTTTGGTGTAGAGGAGTGCAACCCTTACACTAAGATATAGATTCTAATCCTGTTGACTATCTAATCTAACAAATTCATCGTTGAAAAAAAAAAAAAAAAAAAATTTAAAACCCACGAGGGGCAATATTGACAAGATTCCACTATCAAAGAAGAACAGGGACAGTCCAGTAACTTCGCTCAGCAGAAGCGCCCAGACCCCTTTATATATTTTCTCAGGAGCTTTAGGTATTTTTCTACGGGCCTCACTCTCTCATCTCGTCTCCTCACTTTTCTGTGGCTCTCTGCGTCTCTCAGGTGAACTCACTAGGGTTTCATCACCCCTCTTTTCTCAATTAAAAACCTAATCTTTCCCCATTTATTCGCATTTTTATGCTCCGTACGTACATGGTTGCAGTAGAAAATTTGAAGTTTTGTTATTTTTTTTCGTTAGTTTTGTTGTTTATATGATTGTAAATTCATTAGTAGGAAAGTTCGATGAGAAATAAAGTGAAATATGTTTTCAATTTAGCTCGATGATGTAGTTGTCATGTTTTGCGCATGCATTTGGGTTTAGGGGTTGTGGAAATTTAGCTAGGGTTTAAGGATTCGGAGCTTGATTCGGTTATTGATTAGGGATTGCTTTTGCATATTCTGATCTGGGTTTGCTTACGAAGCAGTTGCATTGGATCGATGATCAGATTTAATCTAACCGGTAACTTGGAACTTAAATATATGTCTGCATGCTTAGATTCCTGCTTCTGTTAAGTGGATTTAGTTGCAGGTTTTGGGTAGAGCCGCAATGGTTTCTGCGGTCAAAATGATTGTTTTTCTGACGCTTGAAATACTTATTTACAGTTAGAACGTATCATATTTGTACATGGGGGGGGGGTGATTGAGTAATAGTTGAGTAGGTTTTTTCGTTTTTTTTTTTTTTTTTTTTTTGCAGTTTTTATCTTTGAATTTATTAGTATGACTGTGGTTGGCTCAGTGAGGTGTAATTAATTCCTTACATCAGTGGTTTGAGTTTTGTTTCTCGAAGACAAACAAATGACGAAGAAGAAGAACCCCTTTGTTTTTATGGATGTGTCTGTCGATGGCGATCCTTATGAAAGAATGGTTTTTGAGGTACTGTTCATGACACATATATTTAGTCTAGATATTTTCTTTCGGTGTAAACTCTGTAATGAATGATGTGGATTTTATTGTTTGTCTCAGTTCCTGCTATGTGACAATTCTTGCATTTCATAATGAGTTTGACCTTTATCATTTTTTGGTGATTGCTTTACAGCTTTTCTCTGATGTTGCTCCCAAGACTGCAGAAAATTTTCGTGCTCTATGTACAGGTAATATATATCATTTGGTTCAGAACATATTTGTTATCTTTTTATATGGGATTCTGTAACCACCATGTTTACATGAATTGCTCTATGGACTTAAACAATTCTTATAATCAATTTCTTGTATCGCTTCTAAGATTGCACTTTTGTTCCTTCTTTGGGGATGTTATTATACATTATCATACTAAAATCAGAAGGCTTTCTGTTCTCATATATTTGTTATTTTATTGAATACTCAGGAGAGCAGGGAATCGGTCCAAAAAGTGGAAAACCACTGCACTACAAAGGGTCCTTTTTCCATCGTATTGTAAAAGGTTATATCGCACAGGTATGCCTCCTCATCTTAGTTTTTAGATTCGTCTTCCATACAATTTTCTGGTTGAGCATGACTTAGCAGTGGTTTGTCTATCAGTTACCCTTGTTTATGCTGTAGGATACAGGGCTGATGGTCACGACTGCTTTTCTTGTGATATAGTTTTAAGGTTGTACTTACTAAGTTGTATATCCTTGAAATTTACTAGCTTTGTCATGCCCAAACCAATTTTGTATACACATTTCCTTTATAACTTAGAGGGATTAATGAATGTTGTCCATTTTGCAGGGTGGCGATTTTGTGAAAAGAGATGGTAAGTATTATAATTATCTCTTTCCTGCAGCCATTACATTTAATGTGTCATTCCAGCTTGCACATTAAATCTGGGCCAAAATCAATATCACATTCTTGTCTGAATTCATGTTTGTTACTAAAAACACCATTTCTTTGAAGATGGACTGAGAAAAAAAGTGTTGATATGAGTTGGTTCAAGAAACAAGCACAGAATTTCAAGAAATTTTATAAGCATTAAAAGGTTGATGTCGGTTATGCAAGACTTATTTTCAAGCATGATGTTTATAGTAGTGTTTGAACATATAATTACCAAAAGTGAGATGGCAGAGTGCAGCCTGTTTAAGATAAATGCTGTTATATAAACATTTTCAATTAGGCTTCCATATACCGACAATACAGAGAATTATATTTATGTTGATTAGGAAATTTATATTGGAAAAATACAGAGGCTGCTTTGTGCTCCTGGGATTCCGAGTCGACCAACTCTAGTTTTGGTATAATCATTGGATATCAAGTCCTAAATGTGTTTGCTAGGTTATAACTCTGATTGTTTCTTGTTAACAGTGAAAGAATATGGCTCCATTATGTATGTGCAAATGCCTTTTATCTTATTGTCCTGGGCTTTTGGTTTAGGATTTAATTAACAAGTCATGTCATTTAAAGGCGTATAAGTTCTGGAAAATTAGAAGGGTCTCGCTTGAGCTAAAAATGAAGTGGTATAGAACTGGGTGGAGAGATAGATAACTAGAATAGGTTGTAAACACAAAAAATTCCAACTCCCTTCCAACACACCCCCACTCCCCAACACACAAATGTCTTTAGACTTGGATGAGGATCAATCCGTGGTGAGCTGACCTAGAAGCATAAAGGGCATCTTGGCTGCATAGGCAGTATCAGGTGTTTTGATATATTTATTTCTTGAAATTGTTTATGGCTAATCAAACTGAAAACCACAATTTTAAATTTTGGTGGAATAATTGATTTGTTTTAATATTAAAAAAAACTACCAATGATGACTTTATTTTTGTAATGCTGTATACCCTAGTGATACCAAAGCATGGTGGAAGGTCTCTTTTAACATGACTTGAGTCTGAGTTTTACTGGTCTTTTATGTTTGTTCTGTAGGCACAGCTGGTGAAAGCATTTATAGGTGAGGAGTTTCCAGGTAATTGTGACAACAGTATCTGCATGATCTGTGTCTGTGCAATATTTCTATAAGCAAAATTACAACTCTTGCTTATCAATAAACTTTGGTTGTAGCTCTATTCACTCTCTGTCCCTACTTTTTTAAGTTTGTGATCATGTCTCACTGTCACAAGCTTCCTTCAGTAGGGATTGTAATACTCACTACTCAGGGAACTGTAGTCTATGAACTCGTAGAATTATCTTGAAATTGTTAAGTATTTCAATTAGTATGTGTGTTCTCAAGTCGAGTTAAGTATTAATTCAATGCTATTTAATTTGGGGATGCTTCTGAGTATTAATAGTGTCAGTTAACTTTGCTTCAGATGAGTCACCTGTGCTCAAACACTCTGGACCTGGCCTTCTATCTATGCCTGTTGCTGTTCGTGACTCTTTAGGTTCTCATTTCAACATCACTTTTGCAGCTAATCGTAGTCTTGACAGGTATGCTTTCATTTTCATATTTTTTGTTTTTACTTTCTTTTACTTTGGTTTTGTTCGCTTGTGTAAATATTCTTACTTTTTGCCATTTAGAAGGCAGTTTTATAAAGTTGTTGGTGACTTATGATTTCCTCAGACTGTTAAATATCAGATGAGAGGTTGTGGATTCTTCAGTCTAATTACTGTTGTGTATCATTGTACAGAAAGAATATAGTTTTCGGGAAGCTTGCACAAGGGCATGAGGTCCTGAAAAAGATTGAAAATGCGGGTGATGAAGATGGGAATCCAACTGTATTAGTTAAAGTGATCAATTGTGGCGAATATAACGAAGGTAACAGTTATGGAGAAACTGCTTCGGTGTTGTCTTTTAATTTCTCAGCATATGAAAAAATATTGGTATCTAAGGGTTATCAAAACCCTAACTTTTCCTTTGATACCATGCGTTTTCTTTGTTATTATTTTTATTTATTGTTTGTATGTGCAGACATAAAGAGAGCAAGTAAAGTGAAAGTTGGGAAGGATGCTTCGTCAGAAGCTAATAGTCATGAACTGAGGCGAAGGGTTAAACACAAAAAATCTTCCAAAGATAGAAGGAAAAGGGGGAGAAGGAGATATGATTCATCTGAATCAGACAGTTCCTCAGATTCTGAATCTGAGTCATCTGAGTCAGATAGTGAGTCTGACTCAGATGTGTCCTCATCATCTTATGCTAGTTCTTCAAGTGATGACAGGCGTAAGAAAAGAAAGAGATCTTCTAAAAGGGACAAGCATAGACACGGAAAGAGGCGGGATAAAAGGCGTGACAAAAAGCGAAGGCGGCATGATAAGAAATCGAAGATCAGATCAAAAAGGTTGTATGCTTAATATTATTTGTTATTCAAAAGTTATTTTATGGTTTCACCCTTGTTGTTCAGACTTTTTCACATGAAAATACTTTTTTTGTTCTTGCCACTTGAGCAGTATCTCATGTAAGGCTACTAGTCGTTGCTGTTTTAGTAGTTAATGTCCTCTCCTAATATGTTCTTTTTAATAGGAAACCTAGTTTAAGAAATGGTACAGGTTTTATAAGGACTTAAATTCGCACTTTGCTGATATTTTTTTTCTGTTCTCAAGGGCATCACACGGTCATACTGATTCTGAGAGTGAAATTAAAAGTGAAAGTAGCTGTGAAGATGATGGCCTTGATGCCAAAAGGAAGGATCAAAAGTCTAAGAAGTTCTCTGAAAAATCTGGTACTTTAACTAATTTCTTCGGCATTCTTGAGCTGTGGTACTATCGGTTATGATAATTGTTCTATCTCACCTTCTAGATGATAGTAGTTTATTTGCTTGCATGATCTTTCTAGATCAAGATTTTACTTGTTTACCTTTCCTTTTGCAAATTAGGTTTTTATATTAGGTGGGTGGGGTTGATATTTGTTTTGGAGAAAGTTAGCAAATATAGCATTTGGTGTCTGGGTTTGCTATACCTACAGGTCCTGGGGTTCAGCATTTTATTGATGAATGGGTCAAAGCTATCCTTATCACGTATGTGACCTGCATTTTTCAAGCTTGTTATATTTTTACTTTTGGTGGGTTGATCTTGAATATCTGTTTTGTTGTGGCATTGGATTGTTAATGTTGAACGTTGTGCCTAATGGAAAATGAATTTAAGCTGAGATGATTCAGGACATTCTTACGCTGGGTCAATGCTCCCAAGCCGACATGTGACACTGTTTTCATTGTCTTACTAATTGATTTGTGTTTTGTTCTCATGGTTTTTGGTAATTTCTGCTGTTGGAAACCACCACTTGTTGCAGGTGAAGGTGATGCTTCAATCTACCCTAAGAAGAGGGAGGAAGCTGAAGTGCTTGTGAAAGACAGTGCATATCCTAAGGAGAATGGAGAGCAGCGGAGCAATGGACTTGCAGGTGGTAAATATGACAAAGGTGCAGATAGACAGCCTGACATAGTTGATGATCACCCAGGCAAATCTAGGTCTTCTTTCCATTCTCGTCACACCTCAGTTATTCTTTATGCTTACCAATTCTTCCAGATCTGGTATTTTATTGAAAGTTGATCTGCAGGAGCCGAAGCTTCAGTCCTAAGAGGGCCATGAGTAAGAGTATGAGTATTAGTCCCAGGAGGAGTCTGACCAAGAGCCCAAGTTTAAGTCGCAAACGGAGTGAGAGCAGGAGTTCGAGTGTTAGTAGAAGCCCTCCTCCTCCCCCTCAAAGGAGCAGGAGCATCAGCAGGAGTCCTGTTAGAAGTGATAGCAGTAGAAGCCCAGCCAGAGGTTTCAACCAAAAACCAATGAAGGGCTGGAAGGGAAGGAGTCCAGTGAAAGCCCGGTCTCAAAGAAGCATAAGCAGGAGCCCTGTAAGCAGGAGCCCACCATATGGCAAAAGCCCAGTAAAAGTTCCAAGAAGCATAAGCGGAAGTCCACCTAGAAAACCACCACATAAATCAATTAGCAGAAGCCCTGCCAGAGCTTCAAGCACAAGCAGAAGTCCACCAAGAAAATCATTGCACAAATCAAATAGTAGAAGCCCTGTAAGAGTTGCAAGAAGCAGAAGCCCAGTTATATCTTCTCGAAGGAGAGCAAGCAGAAGCCCTGTAAGAGTCTCAAGAACTAGAAGCCCAGTTAGATATTCTCGAAGGAGTGCAAGCAGAAGCCCTGTAAGAGTATCAAGAAGCAGAAGCCCAGTTAGATCTTCTCGAAGGAGTGCAAGCAGAAGTTCAGGTAGGTTTCCTTCTAGGAAAACTGCTAGCCGCAGTCCGCTGAGGGCCCCAAGCGGGAATAATCGTCGCAGCTATTCAAGGAGTCCTAGCCCAGTAGCGCGTAGGGTAAGATCGCCTTTATCACCAGATCGGGGGAGGAGCTTGTCAAGAAGTGCTTCACCTGATGCCTCACCAAAGCGCGTTAGAAGAGGGCGGGGTTTCAGTCAGCGGTACTCTTATGCACGGAGGTACAGAACCCCTTCTTTGTCTCCTCCTGTGAGATCTTATCGTTATGGTGGTGGTCGAAGTGATCGTGACAGGTAATTGCAAGTCATTTATTTTTTTTATAAGTTCTTTTACCATCGTCTAGTGTAGATGATGTGGTGATCGACTGTGAACTTTGTTTTTGCATTGCAATTGCACATAATGTGGATGCCCAATTTGTGTTTCTAGGTATTCAAGTTATAGAAGGTCCAGGTATTCTCCAAGGCGCTATAGAAGCCCACCAAGAAGAACACCTCCTAGGTATGTTTATCGCCCTCTTATAAGCTGCTGCTTCATATACTGTGCTGGACTAGTATTCAGGCTGCTTATGTTGAAGTTGGTGAATTTGTGGAGTCCGAGTTTCCATAAAAGATATAATGCATTTGTGATAAAACTTATTGGGATTTAGCCACATATCTTTCTTCGTGCCTTATGATTGTGTTTCTCCCTTGGTCATTTTGTTTGTGGTTGGATCATATAGAGACGGGTGATTCCATTTAACTCATATCTGCAGATACAGAAGCAGAAGAAGCAGAAGTCCAGTATCACGTAGCCCCCGTTACCGCAGCCGAAACTATAGTCGTAGCAGTAGCCCCATCAGGAGCCGTAGCCCAGTGCAAAGTCGTAGCCCCATTCAGAGCCGCAGTCGTTCTCCAGTGGAGGTGGGTAGATCACACGTCTCTCCTCGGGTTGAGAGGGCAAGATCTTCATCCAGAAGCAGAAGCCCATCAAGGTCGAGATCAAGGTCCTCATTGGATTCCAGATCCCCAATTCGGACGGGCAAAAGCAGGTCCAGGTCATCATCAGGAAGCCCAATAGGGAAGAAGGGCCTGGTTTCGTACGATGATGTTTCCCCTTAGTCGAGTTAAACAATGACATCGTAGTAACAACGGAGTTGTTTTGATCCACTTTTGATGGAGTTGGCCATTGATAGTTTTTACCGGTGTTATCAGACTAGCTTAGATTATAAATGATTGGAATGTTTAAGCGTATGGGTTGAGAAATGAGTATTGCTTGGGGTACTTTGAGGGGCGTGATATCGTTGAAGCTTTTTTATTGTAGGTGGATTTCACCCGTGAGGATTGTGGATCTTGTGCTGCTAGATCATCGTATTTCTGTGCCTCATTAATTCGAGTTAGTATGATTTGTTATACTTTCGAAAGTGCTTTTCATAATTGGCTTTTTCAGGTTTTGCTGTACTTTTGAATGTGCTTTTTTCATAATTGGCTTTTTCAGGTTTTGAGGGTCTCTAGTCTCGGGGGTTTGGTCGTTATTTATTACTTTGAAAAATATGAATTTGGCATATCGATGTTTAGAAAATTTGATGGAAATGCAAATTTAAGATTGATGTGAAGTGTGTTTACAGTTTACTCCGTTATTCGATGTTCGAGGTTCTGACTCCGAATCGTACTTCTAATACCGGAAGCATTTTTGAGGGTTTCTATTTGCACGCTAAATGGAATGAATGAGCATTAGGAATAAAGCCAGCTGACTAGCAGGAATGGAAGAAACACACAAAGACACCCAATTACATGAAGAGGAATGCACCGGAGGCCTTGGACCCAAATTCAAATGGGAGGAGAAATATACCGCTCGGGCAAATAGGTAATAACCAAACACATGTAGCATCGACTCCGAAGAGGAACTACAAAGAATACAAATATTGTCCACCGTCACCCCTTTTTTCTCCAAATTAGCAAGAGTAGGTAGAATGTTGAGGCAAGCCCTCCAAACGCACATTTTCGCCTTATCAGGGATATTAGCTTTCCACATAGAGACACCAGTAGTGCTTGGATGCGAAACAGAAGCCTGATTACGCATACAGTAAGCAACTTTATATGCACTTTTTGACCGAAAATAATCCTTTGGAGTCATAGTGCCACATCAACTTATCCGGAGGTAATATGCCGCTCAATGGAATTGATAGGATCAATGAAGCATCACAGTACCAAATCATGACGGCTATAAGTTAGAGGTCTTAGGTTCGATTTTCATTAAAAGAGAATTTGAACCACATTATTAATAGTCCATTGTGAAGCTAAACCCACCCCCACCCCTATTAGTGTAGATAATATCGTTTATTAAAAAAAAAAAAAAAAGCTTTATACAGAAACACAATTCCAAGGGGACTTAACTAATTTTTAAAGAAAAATTGGTTTAAATGATCATACCTAAAATACATACATGTATTTAATACAATTATAACGGTTATATATAATTGATGTCAATTAATAGAATCACAATATGATCGTCGAAATTGTGATTGTATTGAATACATGTAAGTATTGTAGACAAATCCCACAATAGTTAATCTAATCAAAATAGATATTGAAGGCAACAATTAAAGATTGAAGATATAATAATCACTTATGGATCGACATGCTAAAAATTAATCATTTCAAGGATAACTAGTTTGAATGAACCAAACACTGCCCAAGCCAAACCTTAGCTAGCTTAGTATGATATCCAACAAAAATCCTTTTAGCTCAGTGGTAAACTGGTAATTACAAGCTTTACCCGATACAAAAGGTTAATAACTGACCCGACCCGAGAAGCAAAAGTTCTATAAATAGCGGCAAATCCTCATTTGTTTAGTTTGTCAGTTACTCGCGCGTACAAAATTTGGCAATTGCAGCGTCCCGCACTCCGCAGAGGAGAAATAGTCAAAAACCACCAACAAATACGACGCACCGCGAGAATGTGGAGGCGCGTGGTATCTACTTCCCCGGCTCAGCTCCAAAACCTCGCCGCCTCAGCCTCACGCAGATCCTCGTCTCTCAATCACACCCGTAGGTTCGTAATCTCCTCAGCGTCTTCCCCTTCGTCCACGCCGTTGCCCAAATCCGCTCCTCCCGCCGCTCCCCACATTGCCTCCGCTTCCACCTCCCGTGCGTTTCCAGTTCGTTCCTTTTTTGATACATTGTTCTGATCTCGATTAGGTTGTTGCTTTCTGTTTGGTTCCCGGGAAAATGTAGGCACATTAAGAATTCTCTGATCTCTCGAAATGAGAAGGCGGATTACGCGCTAATGGTTGTGATTAATTTGTTGATCAAAATTTGAAATTCCTCACATTGAAACCCTAATCCTTTGAGCGGTCAAGAATTGGAGATTTTATATATAATGTGTTTGATTTATATTCTTTTTGTGGTGTATGAAGCTCTGAAGAAAAACCCTCAGGAAGCTAATCCGACTGCTACCGGTCACGAGCTTGAGGAGCTTGCTGCCGAGCTTGAGGTTGATAATTACGATTGTTGTGTTGTGATTTGTATCGAACTATATAAAGATACGAGAATTTGCTTAATTACTGGCTAATCTCATTACATGCAGGGAAGGGACGTTCTTGAAATCAATTACCCTGTTGGTCCTTTCGGTACCAAGGTAGTCGTTCTATTTGATCTCATGGATTTCATTGTTGTTATATTTAGTCGGTAAATAGGAACTTCGAGAGTTTCTGACATGTTCTTGCTGCATCATTCGCAAGTATACATGATAAATGTGGTTTGCACCATGATTGGAAGTTTAATGTTGCCAGATTTTGTGTTTCACCATTCTACGCCATCGCTTGCCATGGGCATCTCGCTTTACCAAAATAGTACTAATCGTCTTAATCTTCTTTGAACTGCCAAAGAGCGATGGACCGATGGTTTTATAGTTGTTCTTGAAGTTCCAAATACCTGTCTTTTCATTGAAGGAATAAAAACATTTGCTTATCAATATCAAATCTCTTGGTGCACTCTGCCTCTCATTTCCTTATGTACACGTCAAATGGATGTGAAAGTGTGTAAATCTGTGCACGACATCTTCCGTTTAACTGGAAATATGTGGTGGTCTTCAATCAACTTTCTCATGTAACTAATCTTACTATACTTTCTATGTCATAGGAAGCACCTGCGATCGTCAAGTCTGTCTATGACAAAAGAATAGTTGGATGCCCCGGTATTGAGGGAGGAGGTAAAGTTCTCCATTTAGATACATAATTTTAATTTTTTGATCACTGGTCAAATGAAGTCATTCCGAAGGTACGGTTAACTGTAATTTCCGAACATTTATGTTTGCAGATGATGAGCATGATGTCGTGTGGTTTTGGCTTGAGAAAGGAAAGCCATACGAATGCCCTGTCTGTACCCAAGTTTTTAAGGTGACTTGCTGAGTCTGACTATTTCCTTTTTCCTTTTATCCCTCTTCGTGTCGAAGGTCTTTTCTTTCTTTCTCTATACATCTAAGTATATAGATGAACTGGTGCTTGAATAAGTTGACTGATCCAATTTGTGATAAATTTTGAACAGCTGCAAGTGGTTGGCAAAGGAGGTCCTCCAGATGGTCACCATTGATCCGGCTGACAAGTTTCTTGCGCAAATAAAAATTTGATTTACATGATTTTGTGGGTGGGGGGCAGTCTTTTATACTGTGTAGCTTGAATAATTATTTTCTGGTTTGTTTTTCGGGGATCCGTAGTTCTTATGAGATTGTGTCCGACGTTTTTGTCGGTGATAATTTTGGTTTCATGGTCAGTTCAATAGAACTGGATTCGTTTGAGTGGCTGATAATTTTGAATTGTGTACGAAGATCAAAATAATTGAGTAGATTGTTTTTAAAATAAAAGTTAATGACTACATGTCAATCGTAATACATCTCATAATCTTGTCTTTGTATTTAGCTATTCGAGGATGCTGTTGTGTGTTATCAAAATCCAACATCAACAGTTTAGAAACTTGTGTTACTCCAATCGTTTTCTTCTTTTCTCTTATTTCATGCTGGGAAGTGATCACTGCACGCCGCTTTCTTCCCCTTACTTATTTTTGATCTTTGCATTCAATAAATCAAATAATAATCAATAAGCAAAAGTAAACATGGGTGTGAAGGAGAAAAAGGGTGTGCGGAAATCATTTTATTGTACTGTATGGTATTTTGATGTCAAAGACAATAAAAATGAGGGCTAAAGTGGATAAAATTTGGGGATTTTAATGTCTCTGGCCTTTGGAATATGCTCTAGAACTGCTACTTATGGGACCCCAAGACCAAAGAGTTTTGGAGGTTCATCCAAAGAATTTGATGCAACTAAGCATTGGAATCATCTAATTTTTGTCTCAAGGCGTAATTGTGTGTGATCATTTTCATGGTGATTGTATGCAAGGCTTCAACCCTGAAGACTGCTTAAGCATGCCTGCCCTTGCCCTGAAACCAGTACTCCTAACGATGTCAGCTCCTCGGATACGCGAGGCAATTAGGCAGTGCTTCTCGGAGACTCAGTCTGACTCTCCTGAAGTGCAGCTGAAGGCTCTCCACACTATAGTTTCCATCACCAAGGTGAGTTCCCAAAACAGGAACTTGGTTGCACAGATGGAAGGAGCCATCCCCGCCTTACTTGCCCTCTCGAAATCTTCCTGCGACAGCATTCAGATTCTCTCATTGTCTGTCCTCTTCAACCTGTCCTTGAACCCTGATATGAAGCAATCTCTGTTTTACCACCTGAATTCGATAATTGCCTCCTTGACCTCCGAGGAGTCCGGCAGAGTAGCTTCCTCTCTGGTTTGTAGTTTGGCAATGCTTGACAAGAACAAGGCCAAATTTCGCGTAGCAGGTACCATCCAGTTACTAGTCAAGGCCATTTCCGGGTCTGGCAGTCCTGCTGCTCATCACCTCCTCAGCTCTCTAGCTGAGCTTGTTTAGTTCCACAGGAACTGCACTTTGGCAGTGAGAGAAGGAGTTGTTGAAGCGCTCATCCAAGTGGTGGGGTGAAGTGACAGCGAGGATCTAGCCGGAACTTCTCTCCTGGTTCTTGGTCTTCTTGCTAGGTTTGATGAAGGGCTGAATGCTTTGAGCAAAACCGACCAGATTGTGAGCTCAATGATAGAAGTGTTCAAGGGGAGGTGCATGCTGAGTAAGGAAGGTGCAGCTGAAATCATGCTGCTCCTGTTTGATGAAAGTGAGGGCTGCGTAAGAGACGCTTTGAGGCTGCCGGACTTCTCAACTTTGGTAGCTGATGTTTCGGTTAGAGGGTCGGGAGGCTGACTTAGATTCTTATGTGGATGGGAACTCCATGTTTTCTGAGTGGTAACTGGTTGTAGAGAGTTCACGGCTAGGTGTAGCCAAGTTGGCTACAACACTGTAATTGTCCTTATGCCTCCAAGATCGAATTCCTCTCTTGGTAGTTAAATAAGATTATTGAAATATCGTTCGAATAAAAAAAAGTTAAGATTTTAAAATGAAATTCTGGTCTTAACTCATCCCAGTCAAAACTCCCATCATGCTTATGAACATATGCCATCACCATATGGGCTGTACAATTGTAATAGATAAGTTCTAGATTTTAAGTGAGTCGTAGTTTCTAGATTCAAGTATTGAAGACATGCACATCAAGGCATATATTGGATGGTCATATTGTTGAGTTTTAAGTGTTTGTTTGTATTATCTTTTATAGAGAAACAACAACACAAGAATACAAGATATATAGGGCAAGGTGTGATCAACACATTGATCACCCTTGAATCACTCCTACATGGAAACTCCATAAAACAGGGAGCAGAAAGAAGGTAAGGCAAAAAGCTTCTAACCACCCTAAAAGTATGGGAAAGAAGATACAAGATCTAACTAGAAGTAAGGTGACAACTACACCCTAATCATCAACCTAACGAATAGCTCGGGATACCCACTCTTGACTTTTATTAGGTGATATGGGGTGACTGATGTTGCATATGGAATACCCACTCTTGACTTTCAATACTCCCCCTCAAGCTGGGTCCAGAATGTTGATGGAACTAAGCCTGGATAGAAGACACTTAAACTGATTTGGAGGCAATGGTTTGGTGAAAATGTCAGCTAACTGATCAACACTTCTTGTGTAGAGAGTTTGAATCACTTGAGTTTGCACTTGAGCACAGATATAGTGGCAATCAACCTCAATATGTTTTGTTCGTTCGTGGAACACTGGATTGGAAGCTATGTGCATTGCAGCTTGATTATCACAGTACATTGACATAGGTTGCTTTGTTTGAAACCCAAAATCACTCAACAAACCCTTAAGCCATATTAATTCACATGTTGTGGATGCCATCGATCTATACTCAGCTTTTACACTCGATCTTGCAATGACACTTTGCTGCTTACTCTCCAATGTTACCAAATTTCCTCCCACAAACGTGCAATAACCTGAGGTAGACTTTCGATCTATTTGGTTTCTTGCGCAATTAGCATCACAGTAACCAATAGCTTGAGTGTTATCATTCCTCTTCATGAGAATTCCTTTTCCAATCGATCTTTTGAGATATCGAAGTACTCTCTTAACGAGGTTGAAGTGTTCTATTATAAGTGCACGCATGAATTAACTATCTAAGCTCACTACAAATGTAATATTTGGTCGTATGATATTTAAATAAATTAACTTACCTACAAGCCGTCAGTAGTAACTGATATTAGGTAAAGGTTTGCCTTCCAAGCTGAGCTTGAGCTTACTGTCAAGGGGAGTTTGAACTAGCTTGGCATCCTTCATGTTTGATTCTGTGAGAAGATCGAGGATATATTTCCTTTGGTTAAGGAATAGCCCTTTACTTGATGAGGCCATTTCTATCCCCAGAAAATATTTTAACCTTCCAAGATCTTTGATGGAGAACTTTTGTTGTAGAGAGACCTTAAGGTTTGTGATTTCATTAGCATTGTCCCCAGTGATTATTAAGTCATCAACATAGATCAACACAACAAGTTTGCCAACCATTCTTGTTCGAACAAACATGGATGAGTCTGCCTGACTTCTTTGAAAACCAACTTCTTCAAGAACTGAGTTGAGCTTGGCATACCAGGCTCTTGGGATTGTTTTAATCCATAAATGGATTTGTTCAACCTACACACCATGCCAAGCTCATTGTATTGAGGATGTCCTGGTGGAAGTTTCATGTAAACCTCATCTTCAAGGTCGCCATGTAAGAATGCATTCTTTATATTCATTTAGTATAAAGCCCATCCTTTATTCACAGCAACAAACAATAACACCCTTATAGTGTTCATCTTGGCAACTAGAGCGAATGTTTCCTTGTAGTCCACGGCATATGTTTGAGTGAATCCTCTAGCCACAATCCTAGCTTTGTGCCTTTCAATCAATCCATATGAGTGGAATTTGATCTTGTAGATCCACTTACTACCAACAGCCTTTTTTCCTAGTGGAAGTCTAACTACACTCCAGGTGTTGTGATTAATGAGAGCACGAAGCTCTTCCTCCGTGGCATTCTCCATACTTCTTAACAGTTTGCTTCCTGAAATGTTTAAGGCTCGCAGTGATTGGTGATGGTGTTTAAATAGGCAACATAAGATTTTGAAACTTTCGGGTAGGACATGAAACCATTGATTGGATGCCTTGCTGAATAAGTCACATAATCTTGAAGTCTTGTAGGAGGATGCCTAGCATGCATTGGATTTCTTTTGCCTTGAAACTGTTGTGTTTCTTCTATTAAACTTTCTGGCTCTTCATGAGGAGATTCTTCATTATGCATTTGTTGGTCAGGATTGTGATTACTATCTTGAGTTTCATCAATTGCAGCAAGAGAATTAAGAGGTTGCATCTCGAAAGATAGTTCCCTAGCCCTTGGTAAGGGAAAAAACTCAAAAGATGACTCCCCCTGTGACTGATCTTCAGAGAACTTGTTGAAAAAATGGTTAGTTTCATCAAATCATACATCCTTTGAAACTACAACTCTCTTTAACTCAGGACTATAGCACTTGTAACCTTTTTGAGTAGATGAGTAACCAAGAAACATGCATTTGTTAGCCCTAGGGTCCAGTTCATCCTTATGTTGTGGTTGAATATGAACATAGCATGTGCATCCAAAGACTTTAAGATGTGACAGACTAACATCCCTTCCTTTTGACACTTTTATTGGAGATTTGAACTCCAAGACTCGACTTGGTAATCTGTTTATGATATATGCAGTTGTCATGACCCCTTGGGACCAAAATCTTTTTGGTACTTTCATGTGCAACATTAGAGCTCTTGTTTTTTCAAGCAGATCATGATTCTTTCTCTAGGCTAGACCGTTTTGTTGTGGAGTACCAACACAACTGGTTTGATGCAAAATTCCATTACTTCTTAAATACTGTTTCATGATGTATGACATATATTCCGAGCCATTATCAGATCTTAAAGTTTGGATTTGGGAATTGAAATGATTTTTGACAAGATTATGAAAGTCTATGAATGCTTCAACAGCTTTACTCTTAGATTTCAAAAGGTATAACCAAGTAACTCTTGAGAAATCATCTATGAAAGTTACAAAGTACTTATACCCATCAAAAGATTCAAAAAATGGCCCCCATACATCTGAATGTACAAGTTCAAAAACTTGTTTAGTCCTATTTGAGGATAAACCAAAAGGTAACCTAGTGGCTTTACAAAAATGACATGTATCACACTAGATCACTTCTTACACAGATTTGGAAACAATCTTGACAAAATAAGCTCGGAAGGATAAGCTAATCTTTGATGCCACAAGGTTTGGTCTTGACTTAGGTTAGAATTGAAATCCCTTGAGAAATGATGTCTCCTTGGATAGGTAATAGAGACCATTTAAGAAAAAACCTTCACCAATCTTCTTCTTGGTGATATAGTCCTGAAAAATGACAGTATAAGGGGAGAAAGTAAC